ATTTGCTAACTGAAAGTAAGCACTTTGGGTGCAGAAAGTAAACATTCCAAAGGCTAAGAAGTCAATTGAAGTTGAGCGTAGCCACTTTCAATACCAAAAGTATGTGTTTCAGCAAGGAGAACTCCTCTAAGGCATGCACGTTGTAACACCCTCAATTTTGTGGCCCTTGTATAAAAAAAATATGAGTTTTGGGTGTAGAATATGTCGCTGTAGCGAAATATCTCTTACTATAGCGAGAAAGATGCGTCCAAAATCAGACATTTTGATGCTCTCTCACTATAGCGAGGACCTCTCACTGTAGCTAGAATGATAGACAGCAAAGAAAATTTTTGTCTGTTTTTTTCGCTACAGCGAGAGGAGAACTTGCTATAGCAAGAATATCGCGAGTTAAGGGATATTTAAGAGCCTTCAACCTAGAAAACTTAGATTACAATCCAAAATTTTGACCTTCCCTCTGTTCCCTTTGATCTCTCACCTCTTTTCTCAGAAATTCTCCTCTAAACTTCAATCTTCCTTCGAGTCTGGGCTTGGGAGCTCAACCATTTAGATCCAAGTGAGTTTCTTTGAGTTTGATTCTTCAACTTCATTCATATTTCTCCATTTTATCTAATCTAAAGATTTGTACTTTGTGATAATCAAGGAAACCTTAACCCCTAAGACGATATCCTCTATTAAGACGTTGTGCCTCTCCCTTGGCTCTCTAGGAAAACTTAATCTAAGAGGCCCGTTTCCAAGTAAGGGGAATTGATCCTAAACCCTAACTCCTTCTTGGTATTTTTGTTTAAAAATGCTAAGTTTCTATTGAGACCCTAAAATACTAAGGTTTTCTTAAAAATCTAATGTTTAGGATAGAGAGTTTGACACGAAAACCCCCTTTTGAACCCTAACTTTGGTATTTGTTTTGGGTAATAAAACCCCAATGATTCTCTAAATTGTATTATTACAAATAAAATTTTTGGTATGAAGAACCAATAATTTAATCCAAAGATCATCTAGATAAAATTTTATAGTGAAAGGATGAGTAACTAATCTTTTGGGAATTTTTTTAATATCTTACTATTATTTATGTATGAAAAAGTGATATTGAGCTTTAGGATAGACCACTTTGTTATTTCTGAGAAAGTGTGTATGTTGGGTTGTACGATTAAGCTAAATCTAAACGTGTCTGACCTTCAGCACATTGTATTGATTTGTGTGGTGTAAAATTATTTGAGAATCTTCTGTCTTAGATGAATGTTCGTTGATGACTGAGGTATGTTGAAATGGGTGAAATTAGGTTATTAATGAAAAGTGTTGTATTGTGGTACTTGAGTCAGATAATTTGATGGTTGTTATTAGGATGCAAGTGTTGTGGTACATTGAAAGGTGTACTCGTAATACATGTATTGTAATACATTAAGTTGTGTAATCAAGACTCACGTATTATGATATGTTGATCTATGAGAAGCGTATAGAGAAGAATGAGAAATGGAATAAGTATAGATAGTCACAAAGATATACTAGGAATATGGAAGACAGGGCGATTGAGAAATCTGGGAGAAATGAGGGTGGTGGATGTCATTCCATGATTGCGTAAAAATTAATGAAAATAAAGAGAAAAGACACCACAGGCGTCACACTCGTTTCCCCCAGATTTCTCAATATATACATTAAGGAATTATGAATATATGACACATGTGTATATTCGTGTTGCTGCGGCTAACCAACAATTATTTATGCTATGAAGTCTTCAAGGAATCATAAGAGAAATGAATATGAAGGTGTAATGAATGTGAAATTGTGATGAATATGAAGTAGTATTAAGATTGTATGATTATAATATATACATTGTAACATATCGATGAATGTTGTTACAAAATATGTGCTGTAATGCATCGACAGGTGCGATTAGGACACACGTATTGTGACATATTGATTGATGTGATAGAATACATGTATTATGACATACAAATTATTGTAGCAAATATGTCATAAATAATTACAAAAATAATTGATTTGTTGGATGTATGCTCTGCTTTTATGATGATTTTTGTGTTTTGAGTGTTATTGTTAATTGATATATGTTAGAAATGTATTAGCCAATATTTTTTGTATTATATAAATTTTATGTCAAGCAAAGAGATTTAGTGGGGTGGAAGATACTCACCCTTACTAATATTTTCAGGTAATGAAAGTGAAGAGATAAAGATGACTAGTCCATTTTAGGATCATAATCTAGTAGTATTGGAAGGAAGACTGCTCTATAGGGTCTAGAACAGTTTGAGAAATTATAATATTTTATTCTAATTACATTTCATGTTGACTGAGTTATGTAAATATTTATTTAATGTCAGATTTTAGAATTTATAACATTTTGGTAAATTTTGTTGTAATAAATACTTTCAGAGATGTTATTAATGATATTCTGAACTTTTATATATATATATATATATATCACATGAACCAGATAATATGTTAGATGTAAATTTAAGTTTTATTTATTACTTTAAAATCTTGAATTTATTCCTTTGAAGTTTTAAATACTTAGGAGTCTTATAAAATTTTTATAAGATGAGTGTAATATTTTGTTTTTATTCAATCCTTAAATTTATAAAATAGAACAAAAGTTCTTCTATTTTGTTTTCTCTTTTGCTATAAAATTTATTTATTTTAAAATAAGAAATTGAGGATGTTACACGCGTAATCACTTCCCATGATGAAAGTAGATGTTTCAGTGAGCAACTCAACCTTGATTACCCCAAACATCTTGCACATAACCACTTTGAAGACAAAAAGTGATCACCTTGAAGACTTTGAGGAAGGTAGATGATGCGCGTAAGCACTCTTGGTGCTAAAAGTGGAAGTTCCAAAGCTTTAAAGGTCAAAGGACCCTGCGCGTAATCACTCTAAGCACCGAAAGTGAGTGTTCGAGAGAGCTTTGTATGAAAAGGAGCTACGCATATGTACTCTTAATGCTAAAAGTGGAAGTTCTAGAGTAAGAGAAGAGTGAAGGTGTGATGAGAAGGACCCTGTGCGTAATCACTCTTGGTGCAAAAAGTGGAAGTTTCAATGAACAAAAGTGAGAAAAAGAGTTGCGCGTAAAAATTGTGGGCAACGAAAGTGATTATGCTAAAAGTACGAGAAACTTATAAATAGTCAGAAACTCAGAATTAAAAAAGTCTTTTTTTCAATTTTTTTTTCTTTTTCATACTCTTAGAGGGATAGAAAGAGAGCTTTGGGAGCAAATTTCAAGGCTTAATTGCAGGATTTTCATTTCTTAATCTTTCTTTTTCTACCTTTCTCTCAATTTTTGTTTTGCTTTTCTTTGTATTTATGAATTTCATTGTAATGGAAGGCTAAACCTTTGGATTAATTCATTGAATTGACATTCTAATCATAGGAATCTGAAGTATTGTTCTTGAACTGTGTCAATTCTTTGACCTAATCCTCTTCTTCTCCCAAATTTGTGCATGACTTTGATTGATTAAGGTTTAATTGCTTAATTGAATCTCGAATTGAATTTTGCATGAGATTCATGATTACATGTAATTCAAATTTTATTAGGTGCTTACCTCACAAGATTTGAATTGAGAAAGAATTCATAATATTTTATGCTTCAAATGTTAATCTTCTATCAAGAATTATTTAATTGCTTGATCTACGATTAATATTAAATTCATAATGCTAATTCTGCAATAATTACATTGAGGTTAGTTTTGATAATTGAAAAACATAATTTAAATTTAATGAGAAACTCTAAGTTAGACTCTTAATAAATGAATTGATCAATTCCTTACATTAAATTTTATCAAATTTGATTTCTAATTCTATTTTGTCAAATCAAATTGAAAACACCCTTTATTTCTAAATTATTCAATCAATATCCAATAGTATATAGGAACACGACCTAGGTTAGCTTAGCCTAATTACTACATTTAATTTCTTATTACAACATCATTCAAGTAGTTCATTCAATTTATAAAATAATTTTTATTAATATTAAAATGGTTTGAAAAATGTGGAATTTTGTCTTTTATAATATTTTTATTCATTTAAAACAATATTAAATGAAAACAAATAATTTAATACTATATAATAATTTTAATATTCTTATTTCATAAGTAGAAGGATTAATAACAAACGTTACAAGGGAATTTAAAATTTTATCATTTGAATAATACTGTTGTCAGAAACGCATTCATCCAATCCAGGCCTCACTGAAAGTGTGTAAGCAAAGAGTCGCACCTGCTGCATGCAAGACAAGTGTGTGACCGAAATGAAATAGTTTTAAATAATTAATATTTTATTTAGGTAAAAAGAAAAAGAAGGAGGCCATTTTAGTAAATTAACAAGGAACCCTGCCAAATTCTTCAATTTTCCGCCAGCCCGCGTCTTGCGCAACCTTCTTTCTTTTCAGACAAAATTTCTTCAGCGCAGAGAAAAACCAAAAACAATAAAAATAAGGTTTAATTAAAAAATGAAAAATAAAAATAAAAATAAAAATCAACTTATCCACATTTTTCTTATTACATTAACTTAATTCTCAGAATTTAACTAAATATTTTATGTTCGTTCGCTGTGCTCATTTTTCTTGTGAAAATAAAACCCAATTGCTCTGGTTTAAGGCCGGTTGGCAGCTGAAACCGCTACACTCTCCCGTTAGAACTCAACACCTTGCTCTTCCCACTATGCACAACTTTGCTTCTACGCTTAATCTTTTTCTCTCTCTTAATTGAACGCCTTTTTCATTGCCAATCCTCAAGTGCTGATCTTGCATGCATTCTTATCCAAATTTTTCTACCCCCACCACCAACCAAAACACTATTTTCTCTTAATTTAATTTTTTTAATAACAATACCCGCATGGCTGAGTTGGAGTAATTCTCTGAGTAACGCCTGTAAGCTGAGACTCGAGAGAGGTGATATCGGTTTTGGGCTGTGTTTGTTTGTTTGTTTCTGCGGAAAACCCGTTACGAAACTGGCTTTGCTGATCTGGTTGAAGAGTACAGACAGACACACACAATGGCTGGAGCCACAAACTGGCTTACGTTTTCGTTGACTCCCATGGAAATGCTGAGATCCTCAGACTCACAGTTTGTTCCATACGATACTCCCTCTCACTGCTTCGTCGATAACTTCTATGCCAACAATGGTAACGCTAACGCCTATTCTCAAAACCACTCTCTTTCAAAACTTTACACAATACAAGGGAACCTTTTTGGAGGCCCTCACCACAATCTCACTCATCCACGTGAAAATTCTCTATTTATATTGGATAACCTCCCATTTTTATTCTTCACTAGGAAATAGAAAATCTCATCAACCCAATAGTAAGCTTGTGCTTTGTTGTAGATACAGATATTTAATATTTTTAAGCACAAACTTAGTTTTTATTTTTTGTTATGGGTTTGCTTGGTTATTTGCAGGGTGGACAAATTCTAAGTCTGAAATGGTGAACCAAAACCAGGCACAGAGTTTATCTGATCCAACGACTCTCCCTAGCTTGATGGCTTCACAGAATGAAAACCAATCACTTGCTGTGCCGAAAATTGAAGATTTTTTCGATAACCAAACAGATACTCAAGATTCTTCGCTGACCCAAATTTACGATCATGGCACTGCCTCCGCTGCTTACTTCAGTGACCAGCAAGATCTGAAGGCGATTGCTGGATTTCAAGCTCTCTCTGCCACCAACTCGGGCTCCGAGTTGGATGACTCAGCCTCTAACAAGACTCGGGGTGCACCCGGCGAGTTAGGTGCAAACTCGGTTGAATCTTCCAAGGGAGCTTTGTCAGCACGCGACGGTTCTAAAGATAAAGCCATCGTTGGGGTGGAATTTGATAACCCGAAGAAGGTTGCTCATACCTTCGGCCAGCGAACTTCAATATACAGAGGTGTCACGAGGTAGCACCATGACCGCCTCTTCATTTCATAATATTCATTTGTTTTATTTTACTGTTAATTATTAATTGTTAATGTTAATCACTGTATTATTTAATGTTTAACTTTCTATAATTGTTAGTAACTCTTCTTTTTCATTAATGAATTTTTCTCTTTCATCCCGCAAAGGAAGCTAAGCTTGCGGTTTGTCATTTATCTATTATACTGAGGTCAAGGTCCTAATAAATTTGGCCTGTTTTCAAACCCATTTTTTTAATTATTATTATTATTATTATTATTTCGTTTTTGTTTTCTGCAGACACCGATGGACGGGTAGATATGAAGCGCATCTATGGGATAACAGCTGTAGACGGGAGGGTCAGGTCAGGAAAGGGCGTCAAGGTTCTTCCCTCTTTCTTTCTCTCTCGTTCGTATATATATTTGGATTATTTTAAACTTTTTTTTATATTTTTCTGATAAAGGTAATATTTTAAGCTTGAAAAATAGGGAAATTGAAAAAATAAAAAAAGGGGTTTGCATGCAATTGAAAATGCAGTTAATTGGCGGGGGAATATGGTAATGTTGGTGCTTGAACTGGTTACTTGTACAGTCTTCAATTTCTTTTGTTTTAATTTTGATGCAATGTGCCGCCGTTTTGTCATTATGAGTGGGGTCTGAGATTTCTTTCATATGATTTGATCCAATGTGCCGCCATTTTGGCTGTTAAATCTCTCTCCGGTTCCGTACTGTTGCGGGCGTGGCTATCTACTTAGACTTGATCTTTCCTATTTCCGTACTTGTTTGCAAGTGACGCGTCCAGATTGAAGACCTATTCATTCCCCCCTCTCTCTCTCTCTCTCTCTCTATAGTATCCGTAGGCATTCTGTTCTGAGTTTGGCTTTAACTTTTGCTTTTGCTTTTGGTTCGCCAGGAAAGCTGGGTTTGACCATAACATCATCGGTCACTCGTCTCTATGTTGAAATTTGCACTTACGTGAATGTGGTGGAGCGTCCACTGTTGCCTGAAAGGTTTTTGACAGTGGGTCTGGCCCCGCAGATAATAATGTCCTCTAGGTTCTGAAACAAACTCACGGGATTTACTGGATCTTTGGATGTTTTTGCAGTCACAAATTCCATATAAAATATCTAACAATAAGGATACTAATAGTAATCACTTTTGCAAAAAAAGAAAATAAAAGGCGTTCTGTTTGTAATCTACTACCTAATGAGGATAGGCAATTTGGCATTTCTTCTTTTTCCCCTGGTTTTAGTTGGCTCTAGGGGGATTATTAAACTTTTATGAAGTCAAAAATTTGAAAATTCATCATCAATCGGTTATTACAACCTTTTGGTACAATTAATCCTTGATGGGTCCTTCACTGTCTGTCTACTATTAGAAAAGACAGTGGGGTAGATGGGTGGCATCTCATGTAATATCTTTATGATTGGAGAATGCGAGTGAAAAGAAGAAGAGAGTGAAAAAGGGAAGGATTAAAAAAATAAAGTAGCTTCTGTGCAGGCACATTGCATGCATTTTATCACCCTTTTTTTTGGTCGTTTACATTTTTAGCTTAGAAAAGGGGTTTTTAGCAGAATATTTTGACTACACTATTGCCTGAAACTTGACTTTTCTTGGCTTATATTTTGCATGGAATGTGGCATTGTGCACTTCATGGCTGTCACCCGTCTTTTTGACTGTTCTACAGTGTATTTGGGTAAGAATCGTTTCTAAATTTTATTTTTGGTCTTTCCCCAACTTGAATTAAGCTTGATAGTGTTGGAGAGATGATAAATTGTCTTTGATTATTATCAGGTGGTTATGACAAGGAAGAGAAGGCCGCAATAGCTTATGATTTGGCAGCTCTTAAGTACTGGGGACCAACAGCTACAACTAACTTTCCCGTAATGTTCACTTTCAATATTCTGTTCATATCTCATTAGTTGTTGTGTGTGCATGGAATCCTACGTATATATAGCTGAGCTGAAAACATTGAAATGGAACTAAGAGTGAGGGAAATTCTACTGAGGGAATGATTTAGTTCTTATGCTACTGTGTTTGTGCTTTACTCATTTGATACTAGTACTACCTAAAATGAAACTTGGTTACCCTTGGTGTAATATAAACTTGACCATATTGGAACTTGAATGGCTCAGCATATTGTAATCATCTAATCTCAGGTTTCCAAATATTCAAAGGAATTGGAGGAGATGAAAAGTACAGGAAAACAAGAATTTATTGCATCGCTGAGAAGGTTTGCATGCGCTAGCCTATAATACATTTAGCGCTATATTTATCTCAATACCAGAACTAATGATGTACTTCGTGCAGGAAAAGTAGCGGTTTTTCGAGGGGAGCTTCGGTATACAGGGGTGTTACAAGGTATGTTTCAAAAAATAATTTAACCAACTATTGAATGTGCTACTGTGTTATTTATGTTCCTTGTTTCTCGTCTGTTTTGTACTTTCGGATCCTTTAGGCATCATCAACAGGGTAGATGGCAAGCAAGAATTGGTCGAGTTGCGGGAAACAAAGATCTATACTTGGGAACATTCGGCAAGTCTTTAGTTTCTACAATTGCTAGCTTGCTTTTACACTGTTTTTGGATTATTGTTGGATACCAAGTTTGATAATAATAAATTAAGGATTGAAAAATTCAAAATGAAGTTGTAGAAGTCTTCACGGTAGACCAGTGCAACAATGTTAATCCCATCTATAATCTTGATCAATATTTTATAATGATTGTTTATTTTTAATTTATAGAAGTTGAATATTTTTGGTTCTTGCATCGTTACAGCAACTGAAGAGGAAGCAGCAGAGGCATATGATATTGCAGCCATAAAGTTTAGAGGTGCAAGCGCTGTGACCAATTTTGAGATGAGTAGATATGACGTGGAAGCAATATTGAAGAACTCTCTACCAGTTGGTGGGGCGTCAAAACGCTTGAAACTTTCCCATGAATCAGAGAATAAAGCTCCAATGAGTGGTACTCAACAACCTCAGTGTTCAAAAGTGAGTAGCAGCATCAATTTCTCAACCATTCAGCCAGTTGCTTCTATTCCCTATGATTCTGCGACTACATATTACCCCCACAACCTCTTCCCCCATTTTTATCCTACCAACAGTGGAATTAGCACAGTAGAGTCTGCAGCAACTATGACCAACGCCACCACACTGACTACTCTTCCAGCACCGCCTGAGTTCTTTATATGGCCTCATCAGCCTTATTGAAATGATCAACTGAGCTAATTTTATGTTATGCTAACAACTCAAAAGCTAGTCTTTGGTTCAATTTCGCTTGATCTCTCTGATACTTCTATAATTTAAACGTATTTTGCTGATAAGAATGAGAGATTGGAGGCTTTTTGTTCGAAAGTTTAAAGCCTTAGTTACTCTAGGGCGCTGGATTATGCAAGGAACTTCTCAAAGATGAGGAATATTGAGTTGCTCATTTTCATTTCTAATTGTTAGTTAATTCGCAGCATTATAATAAATATTTCCTTTTTTCTTCTCCAACTTGATTGAGATTTTCGGTATTTATAGGTCAGCGATTTTATGTTGGGTCCAAGGACTAAGGTTAGGCTACAGTGGGAGTTGAGTTTAGGAGGGAAAGGGAGGGTTAAGAGGACTTTAACCCTTATTTGTAAATTGATTAATTAAAAGGAGAAGGTTTTGGAAATTTTTTAAACTTTTCAAAGGTTTTTTAATGCTAATTTTTTGAATTCTCCTAATATGGGATTTTTCAGGATTTTTTCTCTTACTCTCTTGTACGTTTTTATGATTAGAATTTTAATCTTTTTAAACTATTAATTTTTTAAGTAATAATTTTTTAAAATATTATAAAAAATAAAAATATTAATTTTAAGAAAAAAATATTTTTTATAAAATATAATAATATGATTCATGTAATTAAAGTTTTTATCATTTTTTTTTAATTTAAATATTCAGATAAGATAAGAGTTTAATCTTTTTTCTTTTTCTTTTTCTTTTTTTCTTTATCTTTTTAAACTTCTTTTTTTCTTTTAAATTCTCAGACAGTTTTAATAAATTGTTTTTATTAAAATTTATAAAATATTATAATATTAGATATATTGATAATAATTAATATTATAATTTTTAACTAATTTTTTAAAAATTTTATTATGTATTTTTGGACATACACGTTAGAAAAAATTATTAGAAATCACCAAAACATTCGTAGAAATGTGGAAGTCTGCCGAGCGCCATATATTTGAAACTATGCTCTGTAAATTATTTGAGATATTTTTCTAAAGAGAAAAAGTAATTTATTAAAAGAAATCTCTCCTTGGAAAAATTTGTATATGATGTTAAAGTGTTTTCATCAGTAATTTTTACGTGTTCTTTTTTTAAAAATCTATTATTTTTATATATTTATCCATGTTTATTTTAAATTTTGTCTTTTATTTTATTATTTTAGTGTTTTTTTTAATTTATTTTATCTATTTCTCTTCCTTATTGTTTATTATTAATATGATTAGACTAAATAAAATTTAAAATTTTCTAATAAACGTACAAAAGATATATTAAATTAAATATGCACTTCAATACTACTATTGGTTGTTTAAATTCAGATAGATTAAATATTTAAAATAAATAATATAATATAATAATAATAATTTTATGTAAATTTTAATAAAAAGTGAATTATTTTATTGAATAGAATAATAAAAATCTCAATAAAACTATTAAAAGTAACATTTATGAATTAAACTATTAATTATATTGAAGCGTTTAAAACTTTCTAACCATTAAAACTCAAAAATAAACGTTGATATATTATTATTTAAAAATATAAATAAAAAATATATCAATTTATATGAATGTATTAATTATGATAAATTAACTATTTATAAAAATTTTCGCTAATAATATGTGAAAGATCACTTTATAAATAAATAAATTTTTAAGTTAAATAAATTACACTGCTTATTTTATATTATTATATTTATAATGTTTAATTTTAACACATATTTTAAATGAAAATCTTATAAATTAAATACTTGTCTAGCTATGAGTTAAATAATATTATTAAATATTGATAAAAATTTTACTTTGATGATAAAAATATGGAATAGCAGAAAAATTATTATAAATAAATATTTTTAATTAAAATTTTAAAATATATGAATAAAAGAGAATAAAATCTGAAGTGTTTACTTTTAAACTGTTTTAATTTTTTAATATTAAATTGAGATTATAAATAACATTTATTAGATTTGATATTTTCGTTTGTTAGAATAGAAATCAATATTTCATAGCACATATTGTATATGAATTAATTCTTCTGTGAAGACAGAGAAGCGTAATTTATCTTCATAAACAATTGAATATATAATATAGTACGTAATTATAATAATATGGAAAAATGTTATGCATATATAAATTTATAAATTATGTACTTTAATTTTTTTCCTACCTTTTAAATTTTATATTTAATATTATTTTACCCTTCTAAATATTCACGTTATTAAGTTCTTTAAACAAAAAAAAAAAGAGGTAAATTTTAATATTACATTAAATTTTAACTTAGTAGAATGATATTTCTTAAATTTATAAATTATGCAAGCCGATTTAAGCTTCATTTATTGGACCGTAAAATTGAAATGTAAATTGACACCTGAACCTACATTTTATGTTTAAATATACTGATAAAAAAATAGTTTGAAACTAATTCATAATTGAAATTTCAAATTCAAATCTTATATTTTAATCAACCTACATAAATATTTTAATAAAGAAATTGATATCAAATAGAATTTTTAAATACTAGATAAATATTTTAGTAATTCATTTTAAGTAATTTATATTAATTAATTTATTAAAAATAACCCAACATAAATTAAAAATTTATTTAATATTGTTATCAATATATTTTAAATAATGAATGATATAACATCACATTTTATAAATGCATTTATTAAATGGATATAAAATCTTATTTATTATTAAAAGATTGTAACTTCAAAGTCAAATTTAAACAAGGTATTATAACTTGCAAAGACGTAGATATTTCTTTTAAGTTTTTACACTTTTTTCGTTATCAGAAGTACTATTTTATATTTTACACTTTAATAACACTGTTTTGTTTCAGTTTTATCATTATTTTATAAGATTAATGAATATTTAGTAGTTTTTCTAGTACTTCTATTTTTCTCTTCGATGTATATGATTTTGCACAACAATTAAGAAAATAATTTGTATTTAAATTTTATAAAAATTTATTACTTAACTTCTTGTGATATCCTTAAATTATTATATTAATTATTTCACTTTTTATTATCCCCTACTAAATGAGTATCAATTATAAAAGGTAGAATTGTGATGATTTTATAAAATGACAATTGAAAGTGATTAAAACAAAATTGTTAGTGTCAAAGAAAAAAATTGAAAGAATTCGTGTAATAAATAAAAGGTATAATAAAAAATAAGTAATACATATATTCTTTATTAATAGTCCATGCATATACATTTTATTTTAATGTGTGTGTGCATATATATATATATATATATAATTTAATAATTAAAAAATTATAAATATGAAATATCATAATAAAAATTAGGAATTTTTTACAATTATAAAGGTAATCAAATATAATGGATTAAGCCAATCATGATGTATATCTCAACAAACAAAAGTGTAATTTATGTATATAGTATTATATTAAAAAAATTATATAAAATAGTATATGCATTTTATATATAAAATATTGTGATAGATAGAAAATGATATCTTAACAATTATCTTGTAATCAACTAAAGAAAGGACCGTTAGAAAGCATTTGAAAACAATACAAATTTTAGGGAAAAAAAATGAATGAAAGTTAGTTTTGCAATTTTTAATGGGGAAAACATATATTTTGCATAAACATTAAAAATATATAATTATTAAGAATTTTGATTGAAAGTATTTTAAATAATAGATTAAATATTATGAATTTTATAAACTTAAACATAAGGTTTAATTATGTCTTTGATCTTTATAAATATAGGTCATTTTGTTATTAGTTCTTATAAATATTTTTGTTGAGAAGTAATATTTCTAAAGTAGGTAATTTAAGAATTGGTCCCTGCCGTTAACTCTCCATTTGTTAAGTGCTAAGCTGGCTAATAGAAAGTTAGCTCAGCACTTCACGTGGTGTCACATGGCATGTTATGTTATTTATTTATTTTATTAAAAATTAAAATTTACAAATAAATCTTAAAACTATTTTATATAATTACATAAAAACTCTTTTTCTTTTCCATTTCTATTTTATTTAATCCCTTGCACTCATGTCTCATGAGGAACATAAATAATTTATTTAAACTAATTTTACATAAATATTTTTAATTTTTTTTATACTTTTATTTAAACAAATCTATTTTCTTTTAAATAAAAAAGAAACTGAACATCTGATTTTTACTATAACGAAAAATAATCTAAATTCTTAACAAAGAGGTGAGTAAAAAGTAAAATAATTGTTAGAAAAAGTGTTACACATCATTATGAATTGATTTTAATATTAATGTGTGCGAGAGAGAAAGAAATTATAAAAAAATAATTTAAAAAAAATAGACTCACGTTTATAGTTTAAAAGTTGATAATATAAAATTAAGTAATAACTTTTTATATAATTTTGAATATCAATTTTTTAAAATTTATGTAATAAACTAAAAATATCAAGAAAAAAATGAAATAAGTAATTTTGTGTACATTTAATTTAGAGTTGAACAAAATTTGTACGAATTTTAATTCAAAACAATTAATTAGAAATCAAGTTTTATGAGAGGAGAAAACAAGTAAAGTGAGTGAAATTGATTTTTTTTGTTTTGGATAATGTAAGTAAAATTGATTATGAATGAAGATACAAGCAGCGCATTAGTTTTGATCAAATTAATTTTAAATTGTTAAATATGATTGAAATATATACATAAATTAAGTTGAACACACATTGTTATAAAAACATATACTTTTATTAAAAAAAAATAGTATTGTTTAACGAATAAATCTTTGATCTGTATATATTATTTAACACTTTATTAGTGCTCGTGGAAGATACATTTTGAATGAAATAAAACAAAATAGTATTATTTTTAAATTTTAAATAATTATCTTTTAATTTGATAATTTTTTGAATAAAAATTTTAAATAATATAAATTAAAAAACATTTGTTTTTCATTAAAAAAAACATTTAAACATATTTTAAAATTCATTCAATTTAAGAATAAA